GATTTCACCCCTAAAAATGTATTGAGTAAAAAAAAGTATCCAGACGCGAAATAATGCAAAGTTTTCGCAAAATGACCGGTAGGTACTTGTAACAAAATGATTAAGAATAAAAAGAAAAAGAAAAAAAAAAGGTTTGATCCAACAAATCGAAGCCACATGTTATACATTGATAACAATCAAATCTATTTTTACAGGCCAATCCAGACTTAAAAAATGCACCGCTGCCCCAATACCGTGTGTTTCTGCTCCGGCGAGCAGCAAAGAATAAAGTCGTCGATGGTCCGTCATTCATTTTTTCTTTTCTTTTTTTTTTCACGAATATCTATCCAGTATTATATACACTGCAATTGCGACCGACGACGCTCCCGAATAACATGCCATGTTCGTTCGCCCGAATCTACACGGATGCTTTCGAAGCTCACATGGTTCATTTGAGCGTATACAAGCCCATGCAGGCTTATCACGTATACGTATGCATGGATTATCGCATATTTATGTGGGACGAAAATCAATTTGTACCACATTTGCGAAACTTCAAAGCTTTTTTTTTTCATACTCCAATTCAGCACAATTTTACGCCATAACTTCCCAAAAATCCACTAATAACTACGGTAGGGAGTAACTGCATACATTCATTGTAAAGATGATCGTCACTTTTTTAAATATACATTATTATCGAATATGATCGCGTATGCGCGCAGGTATGGCTCATAAAATCAATTTAATATATTTCGTCACAGAAACGATTCTTTTTTTTGCTGATAACTTATTAAAGCTGCGTCAATTGACCGTTAGCTCTGTTATATCTTTACGCGATAAATAAACCGCGAAATAATATAATAACTAATAAAGACGACAATTTTGGAAATCAAATTTTCTGACGTCGTCTACTATGATTACACGTATAAAGTAACGTATTTTGATCTATATTTTTTCAAGAACGTCGATCGAACGATATCCCCTCCTTGTTATCAACCATATTTATATGGATACGATTAAGTCGAGCAAATATTTAAAATTTCATGAACGTACTTTCTATACCCCAACAATACATATAATATCTATGAATTTCTTTTTTTTTATGAAATACATTACAGTAGTGATGATAAACGTTTCAAGCACAACCAAATCGATGCTTAGTCAACTGTTTCGTCAGTCCCATTGAACGAAATAACTGTTATCTTTAACGATCGACCCAAAAAGGCGGTAAGAGAGTAAAACGTTTCTGTCACAGATTAAATGCACAAATTCCAATTAAAAAAGAATCCAATTTTGTACAACTGATTGGGTAACTACTTTATTGTTTTTAGAATAGCTACCAACGCAATGTACCTGATAAAAAAAAAAAGAAAAGAAAAGAGAAACGTTAACCACACGCCTCGAAACGAGTACTTCAAGCCACTCGAATTTACAGAGCATCAAAGCTTACCCTGTAGCTGCAGTCACTCCACACGTTGTGGAGATGTATAGAGCTCCGGGCGCTGTTCGTGACACCGCAGTGTAAGAAGGCGCAGGAGTAAGGTAGTCGCTCGTTCGTTTATATCGCGCGACGGTGGGCGGGCGGGCAAAGTCCGCTGGGAAATCCAAAAACATCGCGATTTCAACGTTCGGATGCGAAGAATTTCATCCACTCCGCTCCTCCCCTGCGTTTTATTTTCATTTTAAATTGCCCCCCCCCCCTCTTTTTTTCACATCCCACGCCGGCACAGGTGCGTATACACAAGTGCATGGGCATCAGGTGCCGAGGCTCGAAATCGTTTTTCATCGGCTCCTCCGGGACTCTGATGGTACGCCCGGCCTGCTTTTGAAAGTCAAACAATGAATACCTACGTGTACTTGTACAAGTCCGAGTCGCACCGAAATGTTATTTCAACCGTTTTTGTTTTTTTTTTTTTTTTTTTTTTTTTTTTTTTCACTTTAAAAACTGTGTCGCGGCTGTACACTCATGATCCCTAATATCGTACGGCGATAACGCCGACACGCATCTTCCACACGTGACAAACTACGAAATCACTTATGTGTACACCGTTGTAGCTGCAGCATGTCGTTAACGAGACGTGGTGTAGCCCACTCACCGGGAAGCTATATATGTATATAACGTTACATTTAAGTTGTGCGTGAATTTATGGCAAAACTTTTAATTTTCATAACCACACCTCTCCCATAAGCATACCCGTAGCGTAAAAAGCTGAGCTCCCTATGGTGTGTCGCGTATATACTTACCTGTACTCTTGAGGTAAGCCGCGTTTAAAAAAGGGAGCCCCTTCGATTGTAAAAACAAACGAACCGCTGATGGGGATAGAGATAGCGCGCTGAAGGGGGTTTTGGTGTCTTGAAAAATTACGGCGAGTTGATCGACGAGCGCGCGCGTATATATACTTACACGAGAGTTTCCTATTGAATTAGCTCCTCGGCGAGACGGCACTCGATCTTGTGCTAATGGGAGAAGAAAGGGACGGGACGCAAAGTTATTAAATTAGGCACGTATTATACACGGGAACTGTGTTGGTATGGGTGTACACAGTACACACGGCAGATACGTCCGGAGCTTGCGCACGTACTTATGTACAGATACGTGGGTGCGCGTGGGCAAGCAAACTTTATGACTATTCATCTCTATTTGGCGTTCGCGCCGACAACTCGGGGGGCTCTCGATAACCAATAATTATTACGTTGCGTTGCCGTGCTCTGCTTGGTGTGTGTTTTATTCCCCCCTCTCTATATCTTTTTCGACTTTGGCAAAGTAAAGTGTGCGGGACCGATCGCGATTACCGATTTTTCCTGATTTGTTTACCCGATTTTTGACGATGCAGCTTGCATACGATTTTAAATTCTTTTTTTTTACCCCCGTTTTGTATACATACATTGTAATACATAAAGACTATACATACAATAAGTTTAATCGGACGATTTTTTGTTTCGTACGTTAATACGTCTATACATACGTAATATATGTACGTACGGGCGACGTTCATTAATTACCCGATGTACTCCCGGTGACCTTGTCGCGCGCGCTTATCTGCAGCCAACGAGTGTGTTATCTGTGAATTTTGACGATCTCTAGTTCAACCGTCTACTCATCAGTATTTCGACTCGAAGCGAAATCGTTAAGGTGCTAATTAAAAAGGAAAAAAAAAAAAAAACAGGAAAACAGAAAAACCGCGGAGTAGCTTAGACGAAGGTGAAAGAGTACGCGCGTGTCCAATGACAGCGGAAAAATCAGTTTTCCAATGAAAATATCGGGGGAAAAAAAAATAAAATTGAGCTCCAGAGTTTCGCGTGGGTGCATGGAAGCGTTCGTTGACTTATCTGTGGGTGAATCGAACGAGCGAGCAATTGATAGACGAAAAGGGACAATTAGGAGTGCTGCTCTCTCTCTCTTTTTTTTTTTTTTTTTTTTTCTCCCCAAAACCCTACAGGGCAGAGAAAAGTGATCATCGTCAAAGAGTGCGGATCCCGAAAGATTGAGAGTAAGTTCTTCTTTGGCGCCTCGGGGCGGACTTAATACCGATCGCGTATACACCAAATTGCCGATCGATGCCCCCCCCCCTCTCCCCCGCTCTCTTTTCCCACCTATTGTCGCGTGCCTCACACGGCACTTATCCTTCGCTCTTTTTCAGGCGCACCAGAGGCGCTTCGTGCCAATTTCCGCACCTACACGTACACCTATATGTATATAGGCATGTGTATACACAGTCCTTCTCTTGCCCCTGGCAGCCTTATTTTTGCCAAAACGAGAGCCTACGTACACACGCGAGTAAAGGCTCTATATGTATATTTATTGTGCATACACATATACGTGCGCCCTGTTTATTTATGGCCAAGCTGTTAAGTTATTAAGCTGTCGTGCATCTTACCTTTTTCCTCTGCTCTATATGTAGGTATATATGGGTGTAGGTGTACTCACGGTCTCTTTCTCCGTGTTATCTGCACGGCACGTTGTATATATACTTGTATTAAAATTACGTAGCAGAGGACTTTCGGGCCGAGGCGCAGCAACACGAGTTTGGCCAAACTTTGGCTCCCGCGCGACGCGAGTTTGGTCAATTTGGCGGCGAAAGGCTGATTTTCGCGAAGCGCGTGCACATGCACGTACATATAGTTGTAGCGCAGCGCGCGACAAGCTTGATTCAATTTATTACATTTTATTTGCATTCGGCCGCTGGTCTTGATTGCCCCCCGCCTTACGGCCTATACGTTGCCCACGCTCTCGCTTGTTGAGTTTATCATTGTTTTCTTCTACGGCGTGTATGCATATGTGGTCTTGGGGAAAAGAAACAAAACAAAAAAAAAAAAAGATACGCTTACTTTTGCGCAAAAAAGTGTGAATCAAAGCTAAATAAAATTAAAATGTCATGCACGTACGCAGAGAGCGGCTGGAAAATCGCGAGGCACGAACGGACCCTCAGGGGGGGAGTTTATCGTTTTCGGTGAGCCACGTACAAGTACACAGTATACTATTGCGTCGTTTTGGAATTGCGCGTCAAGATACGTCCAATCTGTACGCGACACGTGTGTATTGATCGGTAAGTAAATAAATTAAGTATATGTATATATATATATGTTGTGTTGTAAGATAATTTGGTTGTTATTAAAAAGGACGAAATCTCGTTAATTGTATGTACATCCCGGCCAACCCCGGTGAAGACGGACGTGGGTCTGACAAGCGCGGGTTTTAGTTTAATACGCGGGCGAACACGCGTTTAATTACGATAAATGGGAAAAAAACGGGGTTGCATCGGCCGTACACACACATATACATGCAAACACAAACGAGGAGTGACGTCCGCTACCCTTCTTTTTCTTCCACTCGTTCGTTGCTGGTTTTTTTTTTTTTTTTTTTTGCTTCCTACCCCCCTCCAATGTGGTGTATTTGGACGCAAGCTTGTGCACCTACGTACCGATCACTAATTTTTTCTTTTTTTTTTTTTTCTTCACCGCAAATTAACAAACAAGCAGGTGCGCGCACTCGAGAGAGAAAAAGGTCAAAGTCCTCTTACCGGTCAGCGGCAGAGTGTGGAAGGCCTGACTGGACGCTACGACCATCGACAGCACGACGAAAAAGGTCCACGCCAGCGCGATCATTTTCCTCCTCTCGCGGCCCCGACTAGTATCGCCCTGTGGATCCTTACCACCGTAGGGTGCTACTGTCTCGCTCGTTTTTAACGTCAACCGAGACGGTACTGAAGGTGCAGGCTCAAACTCGAAACCGCACCAGGTTTTGTTCGTGTGTTGGTGACGGGCGAAAATTCCCGATCTCTCTACGATCTAAATCACACCGCACTCGCCGTCGTCACTATTTTCAGCAGACATGACGATAAGTAAGAATGTACAAACAAACGAGAGTCCTCACTTTTTTTTGTTTGCTTTTACTTTCACCGTAATGAAAAGCAGAGCAACAAATAATAACAAAACAAAAAAACGAGGGAAAATAAAAAAAATCGGTATACCACGCGATACGCGCACGGGTAAAATACAAGAGTAACGCGAGGAGGCCGCGGTGCGACCGACTGGTTAGCCAGCGGCAAACTGCTCGTGCTCCTGGCCCACGGCTTCGTAATATACATATAAAGTCGCCGAGATAGCCCCACCACCGCCGCCGCCACCGCTGCGATCTCTCTCTCTCTCTCTCTCTCTTCGTGTATGTGTGTATGTATATGTATACTCGTAGTCACCACGTGGCCGTCGCCGGCGCGACCATCTCCCCCCCCCTACCTATCCCCTTGAGCGCGACTCTTGGCCACCCCCGCCCCTATGTCGCGCACGCGACGGTGAGAAAGCCCGTTGTTCTTGCGCGCAACGCCTCAGCTGACGCTAAAAGTCACCCCCTTCCCATCTTCCTCGTCTTCTTACGCCCACATCCGGTACCTTATATCCTTGGCGAAGATACTTGCGCGCTGTAGCTCTTCTCTCTTCTCGTTTCACCTGCGCCCCGTTCTCTCATCCCTTCGTACGCGGCACTTTGAAATCTTAAATTTTGGTTTTTTTTTTTTATTTTAATTTTATTCAATTTAACGCAGCCACTCATAAAAACGTTTTTTTGCATACCGCAAGGATATAAAAAAAAAAAAAAGGTATCGCGAACGAAGCAATATTGCAATTGCATTGGCCTGACCTTACGCGATTCGAGATATTGCGCAAGCGATGTTATACGCGGTGACGCGAAAGATCTTTCGCACGTAGGTGTACACAATGAACAAGACGAGGATAAGATCGGCAATCGCTCGGAGAGAGCGTGTTCTTCGCGATGATTTTCAATGAGCTTTCGAGTTGGTCCGGTTGGATGATATACATATATGTATATTATGTGTGTATATTTTGTTGTACGAGATAACGATCGAATTGAAACAGGTGGCTGTGAACCGATGAGGAATTTACTTTACGCGTTTTGCGCACATCGTAAAGGCACGACTGATACACACTTGTGGATTCTGATTTTTCAACATATTTAAATCGATTTTCGAGTTTATAAAGCGAAAAACGACCAAAACGAAGTGTAGGTCTACGTTGATTAATCTTGCCTTGCCAATCTTTTTTTTTTACCGATCCGACGATAACTACTCGAAATATAGTTGTTGGGACCTGTGTATGGTTACTGTTGAGCAGAGTCGCGCCTAAAAAAAACAACATTTTTCACAAATGCGGGTAAATATTGTATTCCGATAGCACGACTGCGAAGATCGGTAAACAGATCGAAATCTTTGCTCGGTCAATGTCATTGAAATTAAAAAAAAAAAAAAAAAAAAAAAAAAAGGAAAAAATTAAGGCCTCGGGGGAATCCAGACAAAAAAGAGTGCAAGCTTCGAGTGGTGCGCGTGTGGGCGAGCTCATATTCGCATTTAATGCCATTCGATAAGAACTGATTTTGTTGAGAGATATAACGATGAAATATTGAAATGTACGTAGGTTGACGATTTTTTCACTTTCGTCCGGGCTCCCCCGAGACCCGAGCGTATATTTTTAGACCAGTGCTCCGTTTAACTTCAAGGAGCCAAACACGGTACAGGGATTTCAATAAATTTTGTTGTTATTGTTGTTGTTCCCACAAAATAATAATAAGTACTTTTGACTTCTTTTTTCGTTAGCACAAGATGAAGTAACGTCACCTCAGAACCGCGGATACGTTACACGATTCAATTACTCTTTGATCTATTACAACTTGTCACTTTTGATCGGAATATTCATAAACTCCGTGCTTCCTTTTTTCCCCTTTCTCGGGTCAACGAACACAACGCGATTGCCAACACCTTAATTCAACCAACTGAGCACCCATCGAAGGTCCCTTCACGCAATATATACGTATAAATAATTGGTGCAATCGTATTGTGGAGCTCTGACCACCGACTTTTGTCCCCCACTCTTGTGCATATACAACAAAAGACGCGACGCTGCCACGCGCCGATATCTCGCTCATGTACCGGTGCACGGGAGCTTTCCATTGTACCCTATACTTATCCTGCTCCCAATGATGCAGAAATGAGACGGTAGCGTGACTAGCCGCGCAAGGACGACGTAGCGCGTATACATGTACAAATATATATATATATATATAACAAAATAGGTAATGTGTTAATTTTGTGGTAAGCGGCCAAAACGTAACGCCATATATCGTTGTATCGAGCGGCCGAATTTCGTTTGTTCCAAAAACAAATTAATTAATTTATTTGTACAATAAACACACGACGTATGATATCATTATTCGCGAGTCGTTAAACTCTTTATCGGGGAACAGTCTCGCCGTCGGAGTCATCAGATATCCGAGGTGTTTACTCGTACATGTTACATATACACTTGGGTAGTATCTTATACATACTTATTCCACAAACGGGGAATAATAAAAGAGTATTTTGTCAACAAACAAAAGCTAGCAGTAGTGCACACGTCAATTCTGATTCGTCACTCTTGCGTCGGGCTGCTTTTTGAATGTAGTGCCAGAAAACGAGGTAAGTCTAGTGTAAGTGACTGAGTCCATCGTGACGCGATTTTTATTTTCCATTTCCAGAACCGCGTTAGAAACGATCTGCGTTGTATATGCTCTTTTTTTGGACACCTGACGCAAATGTAACCAACGCGAGGAGTTGTTTTACATTTTTTTTTCTTTCTTTCTCTTCTCCTCTCCGAAATCGTCACACATGCCTGCGCGTACGTACGTATTTTTTATCTTCCCACGTGATGCAATACGATTCGCGAGTTACAACAGTTGCAATGACGAATGAGCTTCGGCTTCCTTGATACCATACTTTTTTTTTTTTTTTTTTTTTTTTCATCACAAAAATAAAGCCAACGAGGTGTACGCGGGAAATGCAGCTAACTCGAGGTGATGCGAATCGATCAAATCGGTATGGCTGGAAATAAAACGCGTTTGTTCCAAAGAAATATATACATACTGGCCACTCAAACTTTTTTAAACGAATCAAATTCCCCCAACAGGTACACGTATATTCAAGTGGATTGAGAAACGTGGAACACCTCGCCGTGGAGAGGGTTTTTTTTTTTTATTATTTTTAACCAACGATGCATTGTATACATACCCTTTACCGATAATTGCGGCTTTTATCCAATTTCGAAAATGAGATTAAATTTTTATTTGCCCCTTACATCGGGAGTATGAAAAGAAAAAAAAGAAGGAACATCGAATACAGTATAGTTTGACGAGTGTGTATTATCGCGAAGAAAAAAGAGGCGTAAAATTTTGCAAATGACCCGCAGAAAAGGAGATAAGGAAAACGTGATTATCCCTATAAGTGTACCTATCGAGGCTTCCGTGGGCAAACGGAGGGCCGAGCGAATACCGAAATTAAACGCGTCCCGGTGTACAGAATAATTTACGAGAGTCTCTCCCGTAGCGCGACGCGGATTTGCGCAACTGTTCAATTATTTGCACAGTCGAAGAAAACCATGGTCCGCACGTAATGTTCGTATGTATACACATATTGACTTTTTTTTTTTTTTTTTCATTTCACGTAGCGACGCGTCGCGTTTTATCTCTCTCGCGCGTCTCTCTGTAGTTGCGTTAACTTTGTAAAATGTACAAAGTACACACGAAACACCAGCAACCACCGCGTTGTTCTTGAAGCGAGGCTTTTTAAAAAAAAAAAAAGAAAAAAAAAAAAAGAAAGCAAACAGATTAACAGAAGTCGTATGTAACGTTGAGCAAACTCGAGCGTCAATGCAAAAGTTATTTCAAATCTTTGTGACCTCATAGGAATAACGAAAAGCCATTGTTCAACGTTAAAGTGTACCCGTGAATGTTCGTTGATTACGAACGAAATTTGCGGGAGAAAAAGGAAGTGGTTATATTTTAATTAATTGTACCTATACAGAGAGGAAGAATCGAGTACATTTTTTCGTTGTTTCAAGAAACTTTGCGCTTTAACTTTCTTAAAGGGGTATCAAATGAAGCAGTTGGCAGGAGTTGCAATTAGGGAGCGGCGAGAATTTGCACATGAAATTGAGCCACATTGTCGGGGAAGTACCAAAAGATTACATGCAAATGTCATTTCACCGCTTCAAAGTGGTCTCGGTCGAAATTTGTTTTATCGAGCTCCTCGAAAGCATAGTGCCTCACATTTTTAACATTAAACGCGCACTTAATTTTTTTACCCTTGGTGTAAAATTATTTTCCAATCCACCATCTGGATGATCTCATCACGTACGTGTACTTAACGTATCTTGACTTTCTTACCACAAGCTGATGTCTCTTTAAATTTTAAGAGCTAGTTTGATTTTTATTTTTATTTTTTTTTTTTTTCGCTGTACATGTGTATGTGTACACTTGTGGTAAATAGCGTATTTTTTGGAAAACTCATCTCGGGAGGCATGGGTTATCGTCCACGTACAGATATCATCACGAATCGATTTTGCCCCAAACTCAATTTGCTATCGTCTCCCCCCGCCCCCACGCGCAGCTTCATAAAACGGATTCCCTAATAAGAAGGAGAACAAGCGAGCGACCGATAAAAAGATAAAGAGCTCGTTCATTTTTGTACGCTTCGCGAAAAGTGTGTATACACAAGATAAAAACGAAGGGAAAAACATCCCTCTCCTGCAGGAAAATTTATTCCCTTCGACAGGCCAAGGAACGTGTATGTAAGTACGAGACGTTCGGCAAATCGGTAAACGTGTCGCTCCCACTGAGGAATTCCCCGGCATAAAATAGTTACGCGTCTGCGAATTTTACCGCTTCGAAATTCCAAAAGAAAAGTACCCTCTTCCGTTTTTTCTCCCCATCGCGTTAATTTCCTTTTTTTTTCTCATCGAGAGTTTGCCACCCTCCAACGAGTATACCCAAATCCGTGGAGAAGCTGTTTATGGAAATGTAGACCTACACGTGGGAGTGTTGTGTACGTAGGTATATGTGTGTACAGGTAACTGCCCCCTTCTACATACATACGCCAGGGAAATCTAGCGCTGTTTCTTCTCTCGTACAATGTGTACACCCTTGGCTTCCCCCCACTTTGTTTCTGCTCGTCCTTTGTTTTCCGTTGTTTCTTTTTTTTTTTTTTTTT